CCGGCCCCTGGGCCCGCAGACCCAGCCTCAAGACGCAGGTATGTCCCCGCCTTCCATTTTTGTAGCCGGCGGCGCCCCCCCACCTTCCCCACGCTCCCGCCCCGTCAGTTTTAGGGTTGCTCTCTCCCGTGTTTGCCACCCTGTGTAGTTATTTTAATGTGTGAGAGGTCGGAAGGGAGAAGCGGACTTAGGCGGTGAGTACCAGGGACCCCAGGACACTCACTGAACTGGTTGGAGCGATTTGTGGCGGGGGGTGGGGGGCACCTACCACTTTGGGCGGTTTCATTTCGTGTGTGGGAAGTGTCATTAAAATTTCACAATCAAAAACTGAAAGACGAATGAGAATGTCTATTTGGGGTAGTTAGGGTGTGCTATAATTCATTCTAGAAACATTTTTAAAGGTTACAAAGCACAACTCAGGGTGTTTTCTTTGCCCGACCCCTATCTCTGCGGCTTGCTTTCCAAGTTCTTAACTGTGAGTAAAATCCTAATTCTTCAGGACTTTTCTGGCAACAAGTAACCCTTTAGAAAGCAGTTTCTCGGATAAGAGCCAAGAGAATTTGATTAGCTGGTGTGCAGAGAGGAAACCAGTGAGATACAAAACTGGAAAGGTAGGTTGGAGCCAAACTGTGAACAACCTTAAAAGCTGTGCGTGAAAGTGTGGAATTTATTCTGAAAGCCAGTAGAGTTCCCAGTAGTGACCATACATCAGAAACACCTGGTAGCTTTTTCAAATACAGATGCCCTGATCTCATCTTCAGAAATACTCACCCAGTAGTTGATCGCAGTGTGCAGCCAGGGTTGAGAGGGATGGCTGAAGGAGTAGGGAGCTGCAGAAAACTTTAATTGTATCTCCCACTGTCCACTTACGACGTGATAAATAAATGTTGAGTGGCTTGAATTATCTTTTCCCTCTCTTCCTTCATGTATGCAAAAGTAAACTTATAGAAATGTATAATTACTAAGAAATAGAAGCATTTGATAGTTGTTTATAAAGCAACATCAGTAAATGTAATTGCATCTTTAAAACGACTACCATTTTAAATTGTATGTCACAAACATTGGGTGTTTGATAATCCATGAAAAAGGGATGGGAAATCACAATCCAAGTTTCTGTGAGAAATGAATATTCAGTATCAAGCTTTTGACAATCGGTGCGTCATAGTAGATGCCCAGAGGGGGATGATGGGAGAAGTGGTCATGTTTTTTAAAATCCGTTCAAAATTGTATGGAAAATGAAAAACTATATATGTCTTTATATCAGTATGTTTAGTACAATAAACCACAAAGTGACTTATAGCAATTTACTTTTAAAATTGTGTGAATTGTTTTATGATATCAGAAGGCTAGCTTAAATTAGATTCTACAAATGCTTATCCTTAAAAAGATATAAAGGAATGGATTGAATGAAATTTGAATCTCCAACACAGGAAGAAAAATCGGTTCAAGTGGGACAAATCAAGTACCTGACATCAGCCCCTTTCCTTGGGTAAGGGAACTACGGCTCTGTTTTAAGGCACCATGCTTGGATGGGTCACTGCACCATTTTTTCCTGCACATTATTAGAATTCAATTTTGAAACTTCTACCCATAATGATCTCCCAAGGGTCCTAAGCAAAATTGATGATGCAGCTCCTTTCAAATGCAGTAGTTTCAGAAAGCCTTTATTGTTTAAGTTGCTGCAGCCTCTAGTCCTTCAAGGTATGGCCTTGTCTGGGATGGTGTGGGATAAAAAATACTGAAAGAGCTGTAAGATGACAGGCTTCTGGAACTTTAGATGGAGGTGAGAATAAATCAAACGAGGTTAATATTTGGAAAACTTTGAAAATGATGGTGCAGCCCAGCCGGGCGTGGCTCAGCGGTTGAGCATCGACCTAGGATACAGGCGATCAGGGTTCGATTCCCAGTCAGTGCACATGCCCGGGTTGTGGGCTGCAGCCGATCAATGGTTCTCTCATCATTGATGTTTCTATCTCTCTCTCTCCCTCTCCCTTCCTCTCTCTGAAATCAATAAAGATATATTTTAAAAAAAGAAAGGAAGGGAGGAAGGGAGGAGGGGAGGAAGGGGAGGAAGGGAGGAAGAAAATGATGGTGGAGAGAGTAATAGGAAATATTTGGAACACAGGTGTGTTGTAGTTACTGGTGTAACAGTTCCAGCAGCCGTTGAGAGCTGACAAAAGGGGTAGCCTTCTTATTTTACCACGTAATAATGTTTTGGTAGGTGATGGACCCAAAGGGAGGACCTTTGGGAAGTTTCATTTGGAGGCATAACTTCTAAATTTGACAGTATCTTAGAAGAATATGAACAGGTTAACACATAGTGAGCAATATGTCATCAGCCGTTTTAGTTGACTTAAGAATACTTTGATTTGGATTTCCGATGGGTTTTTTTTTAATTTGCATTGGAAGGATTTTTTTCCCCGAAGAAAAACTTGATAAACAAATGAACACTTCAGGGATGAGTTAAAAAAACTTTTACAGTATTTAAGAAAACTAGAGGGAAGCTGAGGAAGCAGGAGTGGGTGGGGAGAGATTAATCGAAGAACTTATATGTTTATAAGCATAACCCATGGACACAGACATTGGTATGGGGAAAGCCTGGGGGTAGGATGGATGTAGGGTGGAGGGGATCAATGGGGATGAAGAGGGGACATCTGTAATATTTTCAACAATAAAGAAACTAAAAAAAACCTAGATTAAAATCAGATCAGTATTTACATTCTTATTTTTTGCTAGTATACTAGTTAAAGTTCTTTGAAAAGTAATACTTAGGCTATTTCAGATACATTACAGTTTAAGAAAACAGGTATTTATTAAGGTTTGAAAAAATTGTGTGTGTGGAAGTGTATATATATTACACATAAACTTCTTCCGAAATGAATTTGTGGCGACTTAACAGAGATGTATGTAAGACGAAGGGAAAATTAAGATGAATATATCAGAATTCTTTGTTTCTAGTGATAGAAAATGCAACCTAAACTGGATATAATCAAGCAAACAAACAAAAACAGTTAATTTAATGTTTATTACTTCATATTCTTGCAAAATACAACAATGGGGCTGGCTTCAGGAAAGGATTTAGCCAGTGGCTCAAATGATGTAGCCATAATCTCAGTTTTTCTCTGTTTTTCTTTTTTTTCCTCCTTTTTTTTAAAAATCCTCACTTGAGGATATGTTTTTTATTGATTTTGAGAGAGAGAGAGGGGAACATCGATGTGAGAGATAAACGTTGATTAGTTGCCTCCCATACATGCCCTGACCAGGATCAAACCCAAAACCTGGGTATGTGCCATGACCAGGAATCCAGCATGCCACCTTTCAGTGTTCGGGACGACGCTCCAACAACTGAGCCACACCAGCCTCTGTTTTTCTGGTCTGCCTTCTACTTTCTAAGTTTCAGCCTTAGGTTCTACATGACCCCCATTGCCCATACATTGTTCCAGATTTCCAGAAAAGGCTGCAGATATTTGCATGTATCACAAATGGTAAACTCCACTAGATACTGAATTTAACCACGTTTTCTTCTTAAATATACAATTACAATGAGAAATGTACAGTTTTTCAAGGGCATTATTCTTTGTTGCCAGAGGTTATAAGCTGCCAATCTGCATTTCAGTTAAGGCTCCTTTCTGGTAATCAGCTTATACTCTCTTTACTAAATGCCAAGCTACATAGACATGGTTTTCACATCACTGTGTCTTTATATTACTAAATTTTTTTATATACATGCTCATATTTTCCATACTTAATGTGCCTATGAGTAATATATATATATTTTTTTTTCTGACTTGCAGCTGGTTTGTAAATATTTGAACCACACTATGGGATTGCTAGACAGACTTTCAGGGTTGCTTGGCCTGAAAAAGAAGGAGGTTCATGTTTTGTGCCTTGGGCTGGATAATAGTGGCAAAACAACAATCATTAACAAGCTTAAGCCTTCAAATGTAAGTATCTTTGTTAGATGCTTTGTGTATTTTCTGATAGAGAAATGTGATATGCAGAATTATTTTGTTTGCCATTATAACTTCCTGTAATCATGTTATGAAATCCTGTTAACATTGTAGTACCTTAAAGTTGTGTCAGCCATAATTTGCAGTATACAGGAGTGGGCAAAAGTAGGTTTACAGTTGTAATACAATAATAAACTGTGTTTTATATACTCACAACTCTAAACCTACTTTTGCCAACCCCTGTATTTTGGCAGGTATATAGGTAAATCTTGATTATGTAAACTGGAATCTTTTCCAAATGTCTTTCTTTCATCAAAAGAACTTCATAAAATTGCCAAGTTTACTTTTAGGTAGCATTGTCTTCTTTTTGGCTCTGTCTTTACAAGAGGAGCAAAACAAAAGGAAAGGTAAATCATTTTTACAGGTTCTATGGATAATTAGACTGTTTCCCAAGAGTGAGGTATTCATATCAGTAGTAATAAGCAGGATGACTTTTTAAGTCATATAATAAGTGAAAGGATATTATTTTAATAACTAAAAAACATATAAAGCTAGCACATTCAACACAAGGCACATAGTTAAAGCTAGGTTCTGCTACATATAAAGAAAACCCACATGACAGTGGACTAAGTAAATAGAGGCTGTTTTTACTGTTGTCTAAGTAAACCCAGAGGTGGCATTCCAGGGCAGGCGTGGCAGCAACATGGTCCCGAGAGATCTGAGTATCTTCCAGCTTCCTGCTCTGCTATTTTTAGTGCTTGGTTTTCATCCTCAAGGTCTCCACATGGTCAGTTTGGTTAACTGTCGTATCTATATTCTAAGTCACAGGGAGGAGAAAAAACAGGGCAAAAGAGTAGGCCTTCTTCTTAAATAAGCCTTCTTTGAAGAGCTTACCCAGAAGCTTCAACGAATGACTCTTACTTTCCTCTCACTGGCTACTCCTATCTTAAATAAGGCTGGTTCCTTTAAGCAGGGCATATATTACTGCTTTCAAAAATAATAGGGGTCCTGTAAGTATAGAAGAAAGGGAAAATGGATATTTGGTAGACAACTAACATTTACAATTGTAAATACATTTATTTAGGTACAAACTAGTATCAATTAATGAAAAATGTTGAGTGAAAAGATAATGTGGACTGCACAGATAGGGCAAACATTAGGAAGCTGGTATTCTTAATGACTTAATGACTAGAGAGTGGGAAATATTGCTCCTAAATATGGTAATTAAAGCTAGACTTCATTGCCTCCAAACAGTGCTTCAGGTTGGGCAGAGTGACTTCTCCATTTTGTTTTGTTACAACTTCAGTTTTACTTCTGTTTATTTGGCTATTGCTTTGGAATTAAGAAAATGGCATTACTACTTTTCTTCCAGTCATCAGTCCCTGCTTCTGAATAGATAAGTTTGCCATTTAAAAGCTAACTAGTGGTGTATTTTCAGGTGGGAATTAGTTTGAGGTAGCTGGGATAAGAAACTGAAAATGGATTTGGAAGGTAATAAAGGTGTTTTAAGGGGGCTCTCCAGCCGAGTTGGGAATCATTTGAGATATACATGCTGAACTCAGGCAGAGATTAAAAATATATATATTAGCTTTATTGAAAAGCTTGATTTCAGAGAGCAAAGTTTAAGTCTGGCCAGAGGACTTGCTAACAGTCTCTTAAATTGAGATTTAGCCTCCCAAAATGTCAAGGTTTTTTCCTCAGGGTAGGATCCAGCTCTTCTAGGTTTACCGAGTAGCTAAGAACAGGTGAGAATACGTGCTTGCAATAAGCATCTGGCTCTCAAATGAAAGACAGGCAGGCAGAACCAAGGATGTTCAGTTCCATTTTACAAACTGAGCAAATAAGTCATTTTATTTTTTTCCCATGGAGAGGAATAAATTGGGAGAGGGAAGATGGAGAAACTGGGAATGCCATTTTAATGGAGTTTTCTCTATATGGAAACAGGGAAAAATAGATTCTTCCCCAATAAGGAAAAGAACAGGTTAAAGAGCCAACATACATGGGAGTCTGTCTCATGACCTAGGTGATTACAAGAAACTTCTTCATCAGTCCTTAAGAGGAAGATATAGCATCCTATCTAACTGGATGAGGTCCAGAATTGAATTTAGAGAACAATGGATGTGTGGTTAAAAAGTGGAACCATACCCAACTGGCCTCAAATAATTTTTTTAAAGTAGTCTCAAATAAGTGCAAAATGATTGAAACCAGCGCCACAGTTAATAGCCCACAAATGGACCAACTCCTCCCTCCACCCCCCATCTCCCCACCCCACCACCGCAGCCACCTGCCCTTTAGTGCATACTATACTCAAATTGGGAGAAATAACATTCAAAGTACACAAGAGAAATTACAATCTCTTCTTCTGTCATCCCCAACAGTATAGTGATTTCTATCCGAAGACATGGTTATTATCATAGGAATGATCTTTGATATGGATGGGAACTTCTTTCTCCCTAAACAATGTTGGTCCTTTGAAGACACCTGACCTTATTTTTTAACTTAGTTATGCAATTTTTTTCATAATTTCTTCTGTCATTTCTAGAGATTTGGGGCAGAACAGGAAGGAAGCAGTGTGTGTTCAATATGTCATCTTGAAATAGAATTCTGATATTCCCATTTTGGACTGGTCTTGTGGAAGACCTACTAACTCTGCCTCATATACCATATTAAGGAGAACCCTCAGGAGAATCTGGGTACACAGCCAGTGACTGGGGCTTTTTAATTTAATCTTCTATTGCTTTTCAACATCCCTGTCTCTCTGTTGTCTCTGGTGAATTATGGAACTAGCAACTATCCTTTTCCACAGCACAATTGACCTCTAGTCCTGAGAGCAGACTAAATTGCTTTACTTTTAAAAAATAAAAAATCTTGGTGATAATAGCCAAGAGGCCACTTGAAGTAGGACTTCTTAAAGACCCCAAAACCTCTGTCACACAGGTACAAATATAACACTTGTGTCCTCCCTACCTTTGAACCGAAGAAGAGCCTCTTCGGAGTTTAGTATTAGAAACATTATCAGGAATGATCTACACAAAAAAAATGCAAGTCTCATTTTATGGTAAAGTAGTCCCATTTTTTGTGTGTGTATAAAATCCATTTCTAGATAAGTAAATACTTCCTGGACGCAAACTGGTTTTTAATACCAAGCTGTCCTAATGTTTGTTTATTGTTTATATATTGAGGTTGCTGCTGTTTTCTAAACTGATGTATACGGAGAGAGGGTACATTTTAACTTGATTACTCGTCTCAAAAATCTGGTCTTAGCTGATTTTTTTATAAAGATGCACTTTATAAACATCTTTCTTTTAAAATTCCTATTTTTTCTCCCATTTCTCAACATAAATGCTGTCATTCTATCACATCATCCAATTTTAAATTCTTAGAATTTAAAATAATCTTAAATTATCTTACATATTCAGTTGGTAACTTGTTTATTAAATTTTCCTCCACAAATTTTTATATATATATTTTTTTAATATGTTTTTATTGATTTCAGAGAGAGGAAAGGAGAGGGAGAAAGAGATAGAAATATCAATAATGAGAGAGAGTCATTGATCAGTTTTCTCCTGCACACCCCCCCACTAGGGTCGAGCCTGCAACCCTGGCATGTGCTCTGACTGGGAATCGAACCTAGATCTTCTGGATCATAGGTCATTGCTCAGTTGCTGAGCCATGCCGGCTGGGCTGAAGGAGGATTTTTAAAAGCTATACTTGGGAGTATGGAGAAAATTGGGGACAAGAATAAAATTAGTGAGAGTAATTATGATAGCAAATGTTCATTGAGTATTTACTATGGACCAGACACTGTGTTGAGTAAACCTTAAACTTCTATAAATCCCCAGTGATCCCATTGCACAAATTAAAATTTTGTCTAATCCTGCCACCTCCTTAGTAACAGATTTTAGAATTGGAAAATCTGGATGGTTTTTTTTTAACCTGAGGAAAAAATTCATCTTTGATCGTTGCAAATTTCTAAGCTTTGTCTTTTCTCTTAAAGGCTCAATCTCAAGATATAGTTCCAACAATAGGATTCAGCATAGAGAAATTCAAATCATCCAGGTAACTCAATTCATTATACTTGTGACTAAAAAGTTGTGGGTAAAAAAATGATAGTATTAGATCTACCTAATTATTCCTCCTACTCTTAGAAAAAGTAATTTGTTTTTTCAGAAGTCCAGAGGTGTTAAAATATTTGTACCACTACCTCTGGGTTATTTTTCAGAATTTAGACTCTAGGCAAATGCTAGAGTCTAGCAAAGAAAACATCCCTTTTTATGTTACTCATTACAAAATCATATTTCTATTCAACAAATTTATTTTACGGCATTTGTATTTAAAAATTCACCCAAGTTGAATATTGTATATTTAAGAGTGGTTTCTTTTTTAAAAAAGATTTTTTATTGATTTTTGGAGCGAGAGGAAAAGAGAGGGAGGGGAGAGAAACATCGATGTGGGAGCTTAACATCAATCGGCTGCCTCCTAACACACTCCCCCTACTGGGGGTCAAGCCCACAACCCGAGCATGTGCCCTGACCAGGAATCAAATCAGCAACCTTTCAGAGCATGGAAAGTGACTCCCAGCCAACAGAACCACACTGCCCAGGGCTCAAGAGTGGTTTCTTTGATTGAAAGCAATTTAAAAGTTTAAGTGAAAGTTACACTTTAGAGATAGTAGCATATAATATAGTCATGTTTTTTTAATTATTTAAATATGTTTTTATTTATTTCAGAGAGAGGAAAGGAGAGGGAGACAGAGATAGAAACATCAATGATGAGAGAGAATCATTGATCAGCTGCCTCCTGCACACCTCCTACTGAGGATTGAGCCTGTAACCCAGGCATGTTCCCTGATCAGGAATCGAACTTTGATTTCTAGGCTCATGGGTCAGTGCTCAACCACTAAGCCACACTGGCCAGGGCTCAAGAGTGGTTTCTTTGATTGAAGGCAATTTAAAAGTTTAAGTGAAAGTTGCACTTTAAAGTTAATAACTTATAATATAGTCATGTTTTTTTGTGTGTTGTTTTTTTTCCAGTTTGTCTTTTACAGTTTTTGACATGTCAGGTCAAGGAAGGTACAGAAATCTCTGGGAACACTATTATAAGTAAGTATGTTTGTGAATGTTGGTTAACTAGAGGGGTATATTGTAATAACAAATAATGATTAGAAATCCAAGTGATCACATGGGCTGGGTTGCAAGTGTTTATTTTTCATATAATTTAAGCACATTTCCTAATTTTAAAAAAACTATAGTCATATTTCACATTATTTCTCATATCCATGAAATCTTTTAAACCTCGGACCTTTTCAAGTGCTGTTCTCTTTTTTTGTTTTTGGTGGTTTTTTTTAAAGGATGGTTTATTGATTTTTTTTTAGAGAGAGAGGAAGGGAAAAGAGAGAAACATTGATGTGAGAGAGTAACATCCATCGGCTGTCTCCTGCACTCCCTCTACTAGGGATCGAGCCTGAAACCTGAGTATGTGCCCTGACCTGGAATCGAACCAGCACCCTCTTGGTGCACAGGACAGCACCCAACCAGCTGAGCCACTCCAGCCAGGCTGCTCTCTGTTTTTAACACTCTGTTCTACACTACTTCTCTGCTGCTTAAGGTTAATATATTCATACTTGAAGGACTGGCTCAAAAGTCACTTCCTCTGTGAAATTCACTGCTTTGCCAAGTTATTCTGTCCCAGTGTTCACGCAATACTTTCACATCTCTGTAATCATATGTATTACATCTTAAAGTCTTGGGAACTTATTAAGGGTAGCGATTATTTTTCATTCAGATTATTTCTTCAAGGTCAGTAAATATTTATTGAATAAACTTTGTTAAAATAACTACTCTTAACAGTTGATCCATTTGTTCTTTAAGCAATTCTAAAGATATTTTCAGCATATGCAAATCAAGCACTCACTACTCACTTTTAGATTAACATGTCAAGTTATTAGGATCTAAATGTGTTACACCGTCTCAAGATTTTCATTCAGTGTTAAAATGAATTCATTCACTTGGGCCCCTTCATTTAAAGGCATTGTAACTCACTTTTAGAATCTGAAACTTATAAACGATATACCTTGACTAAATGCCCCTTTGTCCTTATGAACTCTTGCCTTGAAATGATGACTGCCAGATCAGATTTTGGTTTTGATAGGCTAATTTTTTCCTGTTAATATGGAAATGAACATTTTCTTTCTCAGATAGGAACCAAGAAGATTTCTTTCAGACATTTTTTTCAATGAGTATTTTACTAGATATAAGACCTTTTTAAAGCATATATTGATCCAGAGCACCTCTGAGGTAGAGAGAAAAGAGTGCTTCAGATCTGGGTGTCAGTTTGGAAAAGGGAAAGTGGCATGTTGTGGTATCTTATGTTAAATTTCCTGAGGAAATGTGAGGGTTTTGGTTTTTGTTTTTCTTAAAAGAAAACCTGAGTTTTCAGTATAGTATTTTTAAAGTCCTGCTCCAATTAGGTGGTTAAAAAAAAAAAATCCCTTTTAAAAATAATGTATTTCCCTGGCCTGTGAGGCTCAGTTGTTTGGGCGTTGTCCCGTGGACCAACAAGTTGCCAGTTCAATTCCCGGTCAGGACACAGGCCCAGGTTGCGGGCTCTATCCCTGGAAAGGGGCATGTAGGAAGCAGCTGATTGATGTTGCACTCTCACATCGATGTTTCTCTCTCCATCTCCCTTTCTCTCTCTCTGAAAAATAAGTAAAAATATTTTTTAAATGAATAAATTAAAAAGTAAAAATAGCCCGGCCAGGCGTAGCTCAGCTGTTGAGCGTCGACCTAGGATCCATGCGATCAAGGTTCAATTCCTGGTCAGGGCACATGCCCAGGTTGTGGACTCGATCAATGACTCTCTCATCATTGATGTTTCTACCTCTCTCTCTCCCCCTCTCCTTTCTTCTGTCTGAAATCAATAAAGATATATTTAAAATAATAATAATATATTTAGCTACTTTTTAAAAAATAACATTTATTTTAATTACTTTACTAAAAGCAAAAATGCATAGAAAATAGTACTCCAAAACAAGGAGACTTTTTCTTATTTGAACTCCCTTCAAAAGTTTTTTGGAAGAAGTTATTGAATTCACAAGTATTATAAATTGTAGGTTAAATGGTGAAATGGTTACTATTGAGTTTACAGTAATAGTAAATTTATTTTTTGTATCTCTATACTTTCCTGATTATTGAAGAACAAGTGCATTTTAAGCTATTAGACTGAAAGATTTAAAGGATTGTTTTAGAAGTATATAATGTACACTTTATATAATTGAGAAAGGAGCCTTCTAAACTATATACCACACATAGTTTATTATCCTGCTTTTTCAGTCAACATTCTATGATAAGGGAAATCAGGAAAAACACATGAAGACTGTAACTCTAATGGCTGCCTAATATTTTTCATATGCCTGCGCCAAAATTTGCTCAGTCATTTCTCTGTTTGGATAGGAAGGCTATTCTTGGTTTTTGAAGATTATAAACCTTCAATTAACATCTTGCTGCATAAGTCTTTGTCATACTTCATGTTTCCTTAGAGTAAATACAGAAATAAAATTACTATCTCATAGTAATTGAGCATATTTAAAGCTCTTGAAAGATATTTCCAGTTGTACCAGTTTCTATATCCACTAGTGTAGTATATGAATGTGACAATCTACATTTATTTTTTTAATTGATAGGAGAAAGTAGTATTAAAAAGTTTTATTTTTATATTTATGTGATTACTAATGATGTTGAACTTTAAAATCTTAATTTATGACTGAAATAAGTGATTCACAAAAAAGTATAAATGTCTAATAAAAATATGAAAAGATATTGAACTTCATTAGCAATTTATGAAATACAAAGTAAATAATATACTGTTAGATTAGCAAAAATTGAAAAGAATGATAAGAGCCATGCTGCAAAGGGGTAGGAAAAATGCTGGTAGTAGAATAAATTGATACAGCATTTCTGGAGGACAATTTATCAATGTTGATCTAAAACTTTAAATTTTACATATATTCCTAGAAATTTTATTCCTAAGAACAGATCTTTAAAGTTTCAAGAAATTTTAAAAAGGTATTTAAGAGGATGTTTATCTTAACACATCCATGCAGTGTAATATTTAATAACTATTCAAAGAAAGGATGCAGAGGGAATCAGTGATTTTTGAAGTGCCACTGTGATCTGTAAGTGAATCTTTAAACTAGTTCAGTGGCTGACTATCAGCTTAAAAAAATAAAATAGAATAAAATAAAAGCTATTTGTAAGTATTGTTTCAGGAGACCTATTCCAAATATATTTACATATACAGTGCTACCTCGGTTTTTGAATGTCTCCACTGAGGAACATTTCGGTTGATGAACGCCGTAAACCCACGAGTAAATGCTTCGGTTTTCGAACTCGCCCCGGAAGTGGAACCTGCCACCCGGCTTCCGCTGAGGGCAAGATCCTGAGGCCNGCGAGTAAATGCTTCGGTTTTCGAACTCGCCCCGGAAGTGGAACATGCCACCCGGCTTCCGCTGAGGGCAAGATCCTGAGGCCCAGCTGTCAGCTGTGCATCCCTCGGTTTTCGAATGTTTCAGAACTTGAACAGTCTTCTGGAACAGATTACATTCGAAAACCGAGGTACCACTGTAGTTATGTGTTTATTGTATCTTAATGTAAAATGTATGTCTCACTATGGTTATGGTAAAAATTATTTGAGAAGCACTAGTGTAGAGCTTTAATGTTTCATATAAAAGTGGTTCAAACTATACTGTGAAAAAGATCAAGGAAATGTACATTCATGTCAGAAAGGCAGTGTATGAAACAGGAGGGTTACATTTGTATAGATGTAGATATTCATCTGTAAATACACAAAATGTCAAAATTGATTTACACAAAAATATTAATAATGATTATATTTGTATAATATGGTTGTAGTTTTGTAATTTTTTAAAATTACAAAATAACAAGTCATTAAATTTACCCTATTATCATCTAAGTGAAAAGAAATTATTTTACATGAACTATCACTAATGGTTAATATATTAATCACTCGTATGAACTAATAAGAAACAGCAGCAAAGCCTATAATGATAAATGGACATAGGATATGAAGAGATAATACAAGGTTAGGACATGCAGATGGATAATAAAGATGGGAAAATGTATAAGTTTATTTTTAATTTTTGTTATTCTTTATATTATGCAGAGATGGACAAGCCATTATTTTTGTCATTGATAGTAGTGATAGATTAAGAATGGTTGTGGCCAAAGAAGAACTTGATACTCTTCTGAATCATCCAGGTATATGTGTGTGCCTGTCAGTCTGTGGTATCTGTGCTTTGGGGTCTGTTTACATAGGATGTTTTNGTATCTGTGTGTGCCTGTCAGTCTGTGGTATCTGTGCTTTGGGGTCTGTTTACATAGGATGTTTTGTTCTTTGGTTTTGGCAAAAAGTATTGCCTGCACTATACAATTACCTTTTATTATTGAGTGGAAGCCACACTGAAAAAATTAAGTTAAAAATTTTAAATGTTATTCATAACTCATAATATCTTTACCTATAGCACCATATATTTTTTAAATTGAAAAGCTTTTTGCAGTGTTTTTCAGGTCTATGATGTTTATTTCCCCCAAAATAAAAATGTCCTTTTTCCTGATTACTTAAATAATATGTGTCAGTAGCAAAATATGCGGATAGGAAAAAAGAAAGAAGAAGTAAAAATCCATGTATCTCAACACTCATTAAAATGATTTTGCATGTATGTGTAGTCACAGCATTTCTTACATATTTATTATGGGAAGTCTTTTAAAATTCTTTCAAAATACCAGTATTAACAATTTGGTATTTTTTTTTCATACCTTTATATGTGCCATACCATGTATCTATATCTACTATTTATATTACACACACAGGCATCAAAGATATATTGGGGTCAGGCAGAAGTAGATTTATAGTTGTGAGTACTCGAAAAAGAGTTTATTCTTATATTATTACTAATTATTGTATTTCCATATGAACAACTATAAACCTACTTTTGTCCCACCCTGTTTAGGGTTGGTGGCTATGAGGACTGTCATTGTTATTTGCTAAAACAGGATTATATTCTATACACTTTTCAGCATCTTTCCATTCTCAAATAGTACTACATGATGGAAATTCTTTCAAGTCAGAATGCATGTATTTGAGTGTCCTTTTTGATGGTGTCTAATATGCCATTCTGGGAGTGTATCACAGTTTATTTACCTGTTGATGGAATTTTTTTTCACACTACAAATAATCTTCCAGTATGTATTGTGGAACTCTGCATTTCTAGCATTACTCATGCCTGAAAAAAAGATTTTAAGTGGTCTTTGTGCTAGGACTTGTAGAAAAGGGTAGTCTTTTAAAAGAAGTGTTTTAAAATCCTTCTTTTGAATTTGTTTAGAATTGAAACAAATAATTGGGGCTTTCTAACAGTTCTTGCTGTTAGCCACAATATCTTTGGTGGTTTTTGTCAGACAACCTCAAGCTTATTTAAATGTTTTTTGGAGAAAATTATCCAGCCTTACTTTTTGTGTGACTTTTTCACTTAAAAAAATTATTGGTCTTTTATCTGGGTTGGAAATACATTTTTGATTATGCATTCCTTTTGTATTACTCTTTCCACTCCTCCAAAGCATTGTTATGTTCACCAATGAAATGAAATCGTTCCTACAAAATCAGCTTCAAACATAATGGGAACCTTGGTTTTGCTGTATTCCAAAAATTTTGATATGTCGAATTGTCATTCTCTTTGGCCCTCTGTATCTTTTGATCTTTTATTTGTTCATTGACCTACTCACTGTTCAGTAGCATACTGTTTAATCTTGTGTTTTTCGCTTTCCGTTTGCAGTTGATTTCCAATTTTAAAGCACTGTGGTCTTAAATGTGCTTGGTATGATTTCAGTCTTCTTATATTTCTTGTGTCCCGGCATATGGTCTATCCTTGAGAGTGCGCTATGTGAGCTAGAGAAGAATGATTAATCTGGTGTTCTGGGATGAAAAGCTCTCTAAATATCAGTTATGCCTATTTGGTTTAATGTGTCATTTAAGGTCAATATTTCCCTTCCGGTTTTCTTTTTGGATGACTAGCCATAGCTGTCAATGGGGTGTTAAGTCCCCAACTATAATTGTGTTTTTTTGTGTGGGGTTTTTTGTGTTTTTTTATTGTTCACAGTGTTATAGATGTCCCCTCTTCTCCCCATTGACCCCTTCCACCCCGCACCACCCACCCCCCCAGTCCCTCACTACACCATTGTCTATGTCCTTGGGTTATGCATATGTGCATATAAATTCTTTGGTTAATCTCTCCCCACC